CAGCCGAGAAGATTATAGGAAGCTTGCTGTCATTCAGAATACTGCTTATAAGAGCTTAGAGCTCAAAGCATTGTTAGAAACCCCACACACCCACTTCACAATCTGTTTCTGTTGCTCCCCTCTGGAAGGAGGTTTCGAAATATTTCTAGCAGGACTTCCAGATTCTGTAACAGCTTTGTTCCCTATGGCATCCATCTGATAAACTTGCAAGATTTGTTTCTTTCACCATGTACATGTATACATCCAAAGTAAACTGTGTTGTTACTCCGTGTCATATAATATATGTGGGTATATGCATAATTTTGTATTTATTTATTTGTTTGTTTGTTTTGTCATTTTTATGTAGTCTATATTAGAGGTGGAGACCCTTTGAGAACTGTATGCAAACAAATTTCATTTTAATGTATGCCGATTAGTGTACATTCAAAGTGATAAAAAAGTTATTCTAAGTCTCTACGTTCTAAGTCTTAAGTATTCTTGTGTAAAATCTGTTTGAAATCTTTTTAACAAGTCATCTGAAAGAAAAGATTTGATTTTCTCTTGATTCTGCTGTTGCTGCATAGGAAACAAGTGATATAATTTTTCCTTTTGCTACTCTAATAAGGTTATGTTAAGAAGTGCACAAGTAATCTCTTTTAAAGCAGCCTTATAGATTGTTTGCCGGCTGAATACAAACCAGTTCTTCATTAACAAATAAGATATAAATTTGCATAACCATTCTTTTAAATAATCTGTTCTCTAATGGAATTGCTATCTTTAGCAATCTTGCTCAAGGGGATAAGGATAAGAAATTCCTACATCATACATAATTCTTTAGCTAGGACAGATATGAATACATTCATTGTTCTCCCATTTATATATCTTGTTCTCTGGTAATAATATTGGGAGGAAGTCAAATAACCTTTGTCATTTTGCTTATTTTTAACATACTTTATAGTTAATGTACTGCTTGGGGAAATTGATGTGTAGCTTATTTATGCTGAAAACATAAGCAGGTAGGAATGAGGCTGGGAAACTCATCAGCAATTACATTCAAGTAAATATGTATAGTAATATATCACAAAATTACACATTTTAGATGGAAGTATAACAATTATAAGGGTAACATACATATTTCTCAATTAATTTGGATGTTAAATCATCAAATAATCATTGACAGCTAATGGTTACTTGTTATAACAGCAGTATTTTTCTTTTGATTAATTGAATTATTAAAACAAGTCTTGAACACAGCATGGCTGTTTCATAGCACTAAGAACTGGCTGGCATTTCCTAATTAAGTATTCAGTATATTTACTATCCCACATTAGTTATCAGTTGTGTTGAGTTAAATGTTTGCTTTCATGTGGTTATCTAGATGCAATTATTGGACATTTTAAGTTGTGCAGAGGAGGTGTAGATCATAATACTGCTTAATGTGCAAATATTTCCTTATGTGACTCTCATATTCCAGTTTTCTATACTTAAAGGTATTGATAACCAATGACACTGTAACATTTTAGTTTTAATCTAGTTATAGCATGAAACAGCATTTCACTATCAATATTTCTATGTTATGCAGAAAAAAACCACATTAGCTGCTGTCTTTAAAGAAGGCCTGAATGTAATTTAACTCTGTAAATTGATAACAGAAATGTTTTCTCATGGGCATATCTTTTTTTTTTTTATTTGATTTGATTTATATACCGCCCTTCTCCGGAGACTCAGGGCGGCTTACAATGCGTTAAGCAATAGCCTTCATACTTTTGTATATTTATACAAAGTCAGCTTATTGCCCCCACAAACTGGGTCCTCATTTAACCTACCTTAGAAAGGATGGAAGGCTGAGTCAACCTTGAACCTGGTAAGATTCGAACCTGCAGAAATTGCAGGCAGCTGTGTTAATTACAGGGTGCATTAAACCACTGTACTACCAATATCTCCCTCTGGTTTATATACTGAACATTATTCCCTTACTTTGAGGTGATTGTAGGTATAAGCATTTTTCTTATTATATATTTAATAACAGTTTAGCAGTCATTCTCCCATTTGATTTCTCTGCTAAACCACATACTGGTAAGGAGATATCTTGAATTAGTTATATTTCCAGGGCTGTGGAGTTGGGAGATAAATGTTCCGACTCTGACTCCTCAGTTTTTTGTACTTCCGACTTTGACTCCAGGTATCCAAAATTTACTTCGACTCCGACTCCACAGCACTGGCCAGGGCTGTGGAGTTGGGAGATAAATGTTCCGACTCCAACTTCTCAGTTTTTTGTACCTCCGACTCCAACTCCAGGTACCCAAAATTTCCTCCGACTCCTCGACTCCGACTCCACAGCCCTGCATTTATCATACATGTCCTTGTATGCTTTTTTATTTGGTGTTTACTGAAATTTAATCTTTGATATTATGTATGTGAGAGAAAACAATGACATCAGGTATATTAGTGCCTTCCACTGATGCATAATCAGTTATCATTCATTAACTCTGTATATGAGATAAAAAGTTCTATGAGGTTTTTCTTTTTAAAAATTAAAGTGATGTTTTAATATCTGTTCTATGCATTTTTGACATAGATCCAGATCTGTAATAGTATGTGGGAATGACCTTGAGGAAGGAGAAGAAGAGATTCTGCTTAAGCAAGAATCAGACAAAAGAGGGAGGAGCCTGCAATTGCTTAACAGTCAGAGCAAAAAATTTAGAAAGGACCTGCCCTAAATAATTACACTGATAAGAGACAGTGGGAGGTTTGTACTTTGAGATTTTCAAGATTCTGTTAATGAAGCCTTTCAGTAAAGTAGAATAAAGTAGGTCATCTGGTCATACTTCCTTTCTGGTTTGCTTGGGAGGGCTGACAAGAACGAACTCTACATATCTATTACTTTCAATGTATTGTTGTTATATACTTGGTACAAGACAAAACATGACTTGTTAGGTGGGTGTCTTCTGAATGTTTCAAGCTATAATCTGAGTACACTCCAATCAGTAGAACTACCAGTGATGCATTATGGGCATTGGAGACCAAAATATCTGAAATGTATCAAGTTGCTGTAAGGAGTCTTAGCAGTTTTTAATATTAGGAATTTGAGATAGCATAGGGATAATATTAAAATAGTCTGCTTTTTCTTTGTTATCTATATATCTCGTCTGTCTGTCTGTCTCTCTATCATATTTATATAGCTACTCATCTCACTAAATGTGGGCAGCTTACAATCAACTATTAAAACAATATCACAGGTATTTACTTTAACAATATGTATAAACAAGATAATTAAAATAAGATTGTGGGACTACACCAATCTAAATACAATACAATCATTGCATAGACTTTACAAGGGATAACAGGGATGGAATTAACCTCACCTCTGGGTTCAGTTGTAGAGAAAGAAATCTAACAAATAAAATCACAGGTGTGAACACTATGTATGAGTGCTAACTATTTGTGTCCTAAGCAGGGCATACAAACATATTTGTGCCATGACAATTTTATTGTTAATAATAAGCACACATATACATAATTAGATACAATATAGGATAAGTCTTACATATTATAGAAATGGTTTTCAATCAATATTCACTTTTTTATGACAGCAATTTAATATATGCCCTCCATCTACACTGCACAGTCTTTTGGGATGGTGCAGTAGTTAATCAAAGAAAAATGTTTATGTACATTAAAGAAAACCATTAATCATGCTTTCCTCTTTTGGTGAACCATTTCATTGTTTTCATAAGGCATATGTCTAGCATATGCTCAAGTCATTCTTTCTCAGTGATGGGTTTCCCAACAGTAGAACAGCTTAGCCCCAGCTATTTATTCCTGTGCAAATATGGTTCTTTAGGAAATCATTTAGAGATGCTCGGACATACTTTTTGTTTTATTTTCCATAAAATATCCAATAAGGCAGAAAGATTGTTTCCATTTCCTGACTTAACATTACCAATTTTAGAATAAGTTATTAGTAAACTGTCCTACATTAGCTGCCAGAATGCCCCTTTCCACTAATTCTACAACATCTGAACATAGCGTTCATGTTTGGAGAGCCAATTTGGTTCTGTGTATATAAACATGTTTTGTTTTACTAAGTTATAAATGGATGAACTTTTATAACATTCCCAGGGCTCCTGAAGGTTTCCTGACAGGATCAGATACAGTGTACAAAGAAAAAAACAAAAACAAAATGCTGCCTTTTAAATGGTTGAAGTATTATGTACTGAACATCTTGATAGTAATCAATGTTTTAAGAAGATTAAAGATAAATTGATAAAAGTCTAGGTGTCATGGGCCAACTCTTGATTAGACAATGGAACCAGAATAAAAAAAAAATATTGAAAGGCACATTGAAGGAAATTGTAAGGAAAGTAGGCTATAGAAATTTGTTTTTCGTATGTATACTGCAGTTTGATTCCAGACAAGTATTAGTGAAATTAATATTTTTCCTGCCCTGCTGCCAATAAATATACTATTTGAAATATTTTTAAAGGTGCCATTACAAAACCAAATACAGCCTAGTGGTATGCTTAATCAAAATGCTTAATCAAGCAATAAAAAAACTATAATGGTACTGTTGGTGTACCCTGATCAACCTGATAAACAAACCTTATGCTTGTGTGCTTATCAACCAGAGTAGGCAAATAGTAATAGTCTGGAGGTTATGAGGCTATAACTAACCCCTATATAAAAAGGGAGTAATATTTTACCTTTACAGTTTTTAAAAAAAGAACACTGAACGTTTTTGTTATGTGGAAGTGCTGTATGATGTGAACCCACAGATTCTTTTTCTCAGTCTAATCTAGCTTCCTCTGCTATGTACATTCTACTAGGTAATTATCTTTACAATATAACTCAGAAGGAGGATATATGCTTCACAGGAAATATACTCCACAATTCACAAGTAATCTAAAAGTTGCTCTTGCTTAAAATCTCTTAATAATTAGAATTTTTATACCCTACGAATTGTGTTCATTTAAGATTGTGATTGAAAAAAATATAATAATCTTATCTATATCTGCTTCCAGGTGCCTACTGATGGAAATGCTGGCCTGTTGGCAGAACCTCAAGTAGCCATGTTTTGTGGCAAATCAAATATGCATATGAATGTTCAAAATGGAAAATGGGAATCTGATCCTTCTGGAACTAAGAGCTGCATTGCGACAAAAGAAGGGATTTTACAGTATTGCCAGCAAGTAAGTTTTTTAAAACATGCACTTTTAAAAACATTTTTAGTATCGGATACCAAGGATACAAATCTTCCTCCAGCTTTTAAAGTGAAATATTCTGAAATCTTGTCCCTCAGAATAAGATTTGATGCTAATGGTACTCATATCTTTTCTAAAGAGTATGTTCTTCTTTAATCTTGTTTCCACATTATGTCCTGTATCACTAAGGGACTGGGAGAAAACATTTCTCATTATTATAATGAATGCTGCATTTCCTCAGTTTCTCTGTGTGAACAATAGATTGGCTCTGCAATACTTAAATTTGGTAGAAAAAATGAAAGAAAGAAAGAAAAAGTGAATTATTGTCACATATATATTTATCTATGATGCTTTGTTATGGCATTGAAATAGCAAATGATTTTGATGGCCATATATACACCACTTTCAAAGAAGAACAATTATTTTGTCATATGAGATGGAATATTAATAGCTGTTTAGCTTATTAGAATGTTAAAATGATTCTCCTAAGAAGAATTCTGATATTCAGATAATTGTTGACTTTTGTCATAACATGTAACCAAGCTCTTTTGATTATATGAAGCAGCCAAAGTATTTGATGAATACTTCTTAAAAGTAAAGCTGAAAAACAGCAAGATGTCTCCAGCCTTACAGAATAAGCAGAATATGAGTATGTTACCATTGACTTCAAAATCCATATACCTCAATCCTTTCCCTTTCTCTCCCCCATCCCAATCCATGCCCATATCATCTTATAAATACAGATGGTACAGAAGCTGTGGTATAGTTTAAAGGCCTAATTAGAACCCGTCAGAGATAAACTGTCTTTAATTGATGCAGGATCTGCTGGAAAAAGGAATATGTTATCTTTTGTTACAGATCCGTCTGTGATTCATTTTTGTTTCATTCCTTCTGATCACTTTTCTCCTTTTTTGGGGTGGGGTGGGGTGGAGAAGACACCCAAGAGGCCAAGTATATCTTTAAAAAAAATTGTGTGTTCCATTTTAAAATGAAATAATATGTCAAATAATGAAAATGGATGAATTTTGAAAGCATCAATATTACTGCAGGTTATTTTGCAGAGCAGTCTCCAATTTGGTGACTTAAAAGTAATGTAGACCTTTCAACCGATATTTCATTATTTAGGAACCTATGGCACCTAGAATGATACATTAAATCCTACTTTATTATTAATTTAACAAGTTGATTCTGCCCATCAAAATCTACATTGCAGATTAGGTATAACTCTTTATATTTCCTGTTTGTCAAATGCAATGTAACAGCAAAGCTGAGTTTAACTTTGGGAGAAAAAATGTCTGCTCTTTATTCTCAATTTTACAGCAGGTCCAACCATATAGGTTAATATTTCTAATCCCATAATGCTCCCTCCTGAAATGCTGTTGAAGAAAATGGATATTCATGCTTTTAAAACATTTTGGAACAGATTACTTTTTTTCTTCCTAGTAAGCAGGGTCACGTGACAGTGTGTTATAGTGTAAGATGGATCTAAAATTAATCCCTGGGGTCACAAATTGGATAGACACTGTAGTATTATTAATAGCCACAGAGTTGCAAATAATGGGAATTCGGCAAACAGTAGAGGTATAAAGCAATTTCTTGATCAATATTTAAAAGCAAGCTTCTCTTTAATATCAAAGTAGGAATAGCAGAGGAAGACAGCTTTTGGGGTTGGGAGTCATACAACATTTGTGGGCAGTTTCTGGTGCTCCGGCATGCGCGCACCAGTTTGGGCACTCTGTGCCAAAAAGGTTCGCCATCACTGACATAGAACAATCATTAAAAGAATGGCCAAATATTTATTAACTCAGAAAAGTCCCAAGATTAAATTTTGAACTTGCTAACAACTAAGCCCGTTTCTAAACACGGGATTATGTGTCTGGAGAGCCAAGATTTGCAATTAAACCCAGTGTGAAGTCTGATAGTTTCAGACTATCAGTTTCAGCAATTAGGATCAGAAGCAATTCTGAGGGTCATAGAAAGTGGATGTAGACATAGCTTTCCTACCTAAATCATTTTTATTCACAGGAAGTCCAGTAAACTAACCTGGATCTCAAACATTTGAGGCTAAAAATAATATTTATTTTATCTTTATGTAATGAATTGCATTTTATTCTATTCAAAGTGTCAGGGCTAGGAGGCTTTTCCTAAATATGACCAGAGTAGGTTGAGTGGGGGCAGGATGGAGATTTTTAGAACTGTTTGTAAGTATAACCTCAACTGTAGTGGTAGAATTCAAAAAATCTGGAGGAGGTCTGAATAATAAAAAGTTGAAGTCTTTATTTTGTTTTTATATACGGTATACACACACACACACACACTCATATACTGTTTTGAAAATAAGTTAATAAAAATATACTGTACTGTGTATACAAACATTACCTAATGTATAAATACATTATACATTATGTATAAGTGCATACATGAACATTCAGTACATATAAAACATATATAATATATAACATATAATATTGTACAATATTATACATACATTATATGTATATATAGCATTATAACTATTGTGCATTATACAGCCATGTTACATTATACATGTATTGTACATTCACACATACACACATTGTTGCATTATAGTACTTTAAACATCCATGCATTATATGTTATGTTATATATAATGCGTTCATATACATATCCTTTTTTTTTTCTTTTTACAACCCTGCAATCCTTTTCATCGGGATGGGGGTGAGGCGACTGAATGGAGCCAAGTGATGCATACTTTACCTTATGTATTATATCTGTGATTGAGACATACATAGGTTATGGTATACATACAAGTGACATTATAAACCATTGGGTTTTGAAGTGATTTACAAAATTTGGGGAAGAGCCTTCTCTGTGGGGGCACCTGCCCTCTGGAATCAGCTACCCCCAGGGATAAGACTGATCCCGGATCTCCAGACCTTCCGCCGGGCTCTGAAGACTTTTTTATTTCAGCAAGCCGGGCTGGGTTAAAAATCTTTTAATTGCTGAATTTTATGGGTAAGGGGTTTTAAATTGGGGGAAGCCAATATAAATTTAATTTTGTTTTTATAGTATTTTAATGTTTATGTTGTATGTTTTTTAATTTTGGCTGTTCACCGCCCCGAGTCCTTCGGGAAAGGAGGCGGTATAAAAATTTAATAAATTAATAAATAAATAAAATAAATAAATTTATAACCATAGGAAAAAAGGGATCATTACTGTTATTGTTCATTCTAAACATGCAATTAGAGAAGGAACAAAGACAATTTGAGAAAAAAAAAATTGAGGGTATATTTAAATAAACTAGTAATAAAAGCATTAATTTAAAAGATAAATTTATACAATAAGTGTGTTCTGTTTCTTGAAGGTAACACAGGTTTCCACCCCCTTTGCCAAAAACAATTTATATAATTTTAGTCAAGGGTCTTCCCAATCTTTCATTTGAAATTTGAAGCCATATAATAGGAACTAAACCTACATATAGGTGTTATTCCACTGCCCAATAGCTGACATAATGTCATAGCCAAGAATAATTTAAAAATAATAATACTAAAACTGGGTTGTGTGTATGACCTGGAGATTTGAAGGGAGAAACAGTGTTAAGAGTCCCAGGCCTAATTACTATCAACTTTATACAGCCAGCTGGTGAAGGAGCTGTAGGCACATGCTGTGTTGTACTCCTGTGTATTACAAAGCATTGCTTTCCAGTCAAATTGAAAACAATGCACATCCTTTTATTTATTGTATGACCAACGTATTATCATAATATGAGCATGATATTAATATAATGTAAATATGGCCCAGTAGAACTGATTACAACGAAAAGAGAAGTGCTGAAAATTAATGCTGAGAAACAAAATATTGGATATTGTATGTGTTCAGACCACTTGTATAACTTCTGTGCATTTTATTACAAATAGTTATAATTAACATTGTACACAGGAGAGCACTGAGATTGCCAATAATTAGTCTGTATGACTAATGGGAACTGTTTAAAGCATCATAAACCCAACAAATTACTTGGTAGTATTATGCTAATTACTGTTACAGAGTGAGCTATGTTTGATGTTAATCCTAAACCATTGTTAAAAACTGTGTTAGCTGCTAGTAAGACCTATGAGGAAGAATTCAGAAGTACTAGTTTCTATTTTCATTAGCGTAAATTGCTTTGTTAGCTAGAATTTAGTTAACTGCTTAATTTAATATAGAAGGGAAGCTATCCAATTTCCTATGATCAGGTTGGAATAAGCAGTAGGTTGGGAAAATAAAAATATGAGGCTTGTTGATGAGTTCTTGATTTATGCTTTTTATCCACTGGTCAAATGTATTGTTGATAAAAGATTAATTAATTTTCTCTATGCATTTCTAATCAGACTGTATGACATCTTTGGGGATTTCTGAGAACATCCTCTGCCAATTGCAAATTGCAAATCTAAATTTAGTAGATTATAATCCCAAAATAAAAAGTCATTGCACAAACTGGATGGCATATACAATCATATTCTCTGGAGAAAACAAAATAGGGAAATATTCTTTTAGAACAGAAGTTTAACAATAACTGGATGAACTTACAAGATTGGATATTGTCAATAATTATTTCCCAGTGAAGCTAGTATGACCTAAAAAAATATGGAAATCCACCAGCAAAATAACCCTGCTGTATTCTGTTTGTTTTAATATTTTATTAATGGAAAATGCTCAGAAGTTGGAGGCATTTAATTATGAAAGGTTAAACATAAACATAGTACCTAAATACTATTGGCTACAATCATCTGTAGTCAGTTTTTTTACAATTTTGGCTCAGATTTAAAACTTGCATTAATACATCTGTTGTAATAATTTATCAATTTAAAATGTACTTGTCTAATTGGGAATTGAAAATTTGCACTGTTTTATGATATACATGCAATATAGTAACACCCTGCAATCATTACATCTGCATTTCATGAACTTGCAAGACAATCAGTTTGCCTTAGTCAAAAAGTCACTTTGGACCAGTTACTTTTGTCTCA